ATTTTAATAAAAAGCAAGCCATGACAAACCCGTGAAGATTAAAAAAAAAAAAAAGAATTCCAACTTAAAGCTATTAAATATAAGGATTTAATTGAATAAGTTTCTTTTTATAAAGTGTGAAAACAAATTATCATATAATAGTTAATCGATATGAACTTTATTAATTGATATTAAACATGTAATCTATAGACTATTAGAAATATGAATTTAGAATTATTTAACCATTTTTTAATTTTTTTTAAATAAAATAGATACATTACAATGTCTAAAAATCTATAACTCTTTGATTTAAATAATATAAATTATATTATATTGTTGATGTAATTAGCTATTTTATTTATTTTATGACAAGCACATCTAGTTTAATACTATGCTGTTTACAAATAATCCTTTAAGATTTTGTAAGAAATTGTTTAAAGATTTCTATTTGATTACTACACTGTTTTTGCTGAACCTCACTAAGATATAAATATTGATTCTTTATTGTTTCAATGATTATTTCTGTTTGCTTATCAATATAAGTTAAAATATTATCAATATATTTTTTCATCATTATTACTATTATGTGTGCTTTTTTTCTTTTTAGAATTAGAATCAATTTACAATTTATTTTTATTTTTATTTTTATTTTTATTTTTTATTTTTATTATTAAGGGGACCTCTTTGGCCTGGGGAACGTTTTATTAGAATGTAAATGGAGTTTTATAATGTAGTTATAATGATGATACATCAAGCCACACGTGCACTTTTTGAGTGCCTAATTTAAGTAGTCTGCCCGAAGGTTCTACACTATTTGCTGTACCTGCACCCTAGCTAGGGGGGGTACCTATTTAAACTATCTGGTTCCAACTACCTCCATCATAACTCTAACCCGTAGGTATTACTCACTATATAGTTGTGGATTTTGTATCTACTCATAGGAATTTGCACCCTATCTTAGGACTTACTAACTTAAGCTAATCTATCCTCAAGGTAAACCTAACAGAGTGGTACATGTTCTATACATGTATTCACCTGCATGTTCTATAACGGCTTTCTAATTAGTACATATTAATCTGCTGTTCCGTATTAGTATCTCACGCCACCTTTTGGGATGCTGCTATTCTACAGCCATTTTTCAAGCACAACCTTCCTAATTAGGTGCCTATTACATACTCCTTGTCTTTATCCGGTTCACAACAACCCCGGTACTAACATTCAGTCTGTTTTTTTACCCAGATTCTTTATTGGTCCCTCCCTTACTTCCAGCTAGCAACCCGGAAGGGTTGGTTTGCCCAGGCTTTAGATACCTGAAGTATACCCTCCTTTTGGTCTATACTTTCAGAATGTATGATCTTTTCTTCCGGTGTGACAACCTGGCGGTTTAGCTGGTGTGTCCTCCGCCATAGAACCTGGTCGCTCGGTTCTTTGATCTCAGGCCCTGGTTTGAATTCAGCCCTCCTGTGATACCATCAAAAATCACTGCTACCTCCAGATTCAGGTCTTCCTAAATGGGTTTTCAGTTATGCCAGTTCCTTAGGTTTATTGTGCCAAAGCTCTTATTTTTAGATGGTGTGACCGAAGTTACAGATTATAGTTCTAGATCCAACTGATAAGCATAGCCGTCAACCAAACACAAGGAACACAGGCCTATTTTTCAAATATTATTACCAGTGGGATTTGAACTCTAGACCTGCCACTTGGAGAGGGTGATAACTAGACTACTATACTAAGTCACCACATCTCGTTTACAATTTATTAAACATATATTTATATAATGATAATAATAAATAAATTAATATATAGTTATATTAACTCATTATCACTATATTTGTAACTAGTTATGCCACTGAAATTGATTTTCAAAAAAGGCCTATTTTATCTCTATTAGAGCAAATTAAAATTTTTTATAAAAAAGTGCAAATAAAATTTTATATTAATACTTCTTATAATTTTGTTGGCATGTATATTTGTGATATTTAATTTTATAAATTGAGCACAGTAATATTTATATTATCCTTTATATAAACTTCAACATCATTAAAGAACTCCCACTCATTTTGTATAGCTTCTTCATCTGTATTTTTAATAATATCCTTAATGCTTTGATATTTTTGAAAAATAGAATCCCATTTTTGCTGAATAGAGATTTTTGAACAGTTCTTCAATATTGAGCTTGTAGCAGAGAATTGAATGCTTAAGACAATTCTATCCCAAACACAACCCTTTTCTCTTGGGTCTCTTGACCATTATAATGCTTTATACTGGTTTTCTACTTCTTGAATTAATATTTGTGTTTTTAATGAAGACTATCTAGTTGCTGATTTGCAATTTGATGTCACAGAAGAAGTAAAAATTGTATCATCAGAAATTGACTCCAAAGCAGATTCAGATTTGGTACTTAAAGCCTTTGGTAAAAATAGCTTTTACAAAATTAATTAATAAGGAATATAAAAACAATACCTATTGCTATATATATCAATTATAATTGCACTTATAAATAGAGATTCGACCCGCTTACCTACCAACCCGTGACCCGTGATTTTAATGTCTAACTCAGAGTAAGTTATGCTTAACCAGGTAACCCGATTAATGGTCATTCTTTTTTTTTTTTTTTTTTTTTGTCAAAGCAAAAATCTGTAATTTACAGATCAAATCCCGAAAATGTAATCATATAACGATAATATATTTGTGCTTAATTTAACTTTATCAGGAGCCAGATCAGAAAGTGGAGCCAGCAAAAATCAATTCAGGTGACTATTAAAAAGTTACTGATTAAAAATTTATCAAATCATCTGAATGATTTATATAATATATTACATGATCACTGGTAAATTGAATTGTACGATTGTATTTGATTAGCCAATCGCTTATAAAACCACTTATAAAACTGCATAATTCTAAAATACCCCAAATTGGAATTCTTTAACCACCAAAAAATACATAAAACAAATCATGTAAAATTACATAAAATTATTGTAATTTTACATCTCTAATCACAAAGCTTTTATACAGTCAGTTATACAATATAAATCGATTAACCAAAAAGCTTTTTATAAAAGCTAATTTTATTATAAAAATAATTTTAAGATAATCTCTCACTATAATTTTACTGATTGAGCTTTACCTTCCAATGAATAATATTACGATATTTCCTATCTTATTAATATTTACATGGCTTCAAGATAAATTTTTTAGCCTTTTTTATATTAAAAATTATCCTGATATTACCCAAATAATAGAAAAAACCTATACATACGTACGTTATATAAAAAAGCCTGTAACACATCTCTGAACTGATTATCCTTATATAGTGATTGTTATGATCTGATAATTGTGCAAAACCCAAAGGGTGGAAACATATAAGGTTGGCAATTTTGTTATCTATTAGAGAAAAAAAAAGTCAATAAAACCCAATTAGATCTCAATCTCAATAGATAAGTATCTATCTAATAAGTTTATTGATTTCATTGAAATTCTTCATTAAGGCATGATAAAAAATATTTATACGATCACAAAATCTTGATAATTTCAATGATGTAGAGGCATGTATTATTGAGTTCTATTGATTCGATATTAAATCTATTGCCAATTCTAAAAATCATGATAAAAATTTTAGTAAATTCACAAAAGCATAGTGAGAGCAAAGATGGTACCAAGCGCATCAAAAAAAAAAGATACAATAAACCGAAATGTATTTAAATAGCGTGTTTTTTCTAAAATTCAAAATTTATTAACAAAACCTTAACTATTAAATAATACAAATAAATAATAAGAATTCTAAAATATACCTTTCATCTATATTTAGCATTAGCTTCTTGAATTATAGGATTTGTAAATTATATATAAAATATTCGTTTTGATATTAATAAAGAAACTTAGTATTAGATATTATTTGCATCAAAAACTTAAATATTATTACTATACTATTTACGAATTCATTACATAGTCTTCTATTTAAGTATCGTTTTGCATATAGTTTATCATAAAAAATAGATTCTCAAGATAAATATAATTCAAATATTCAAAAAACTATCGATACTAATGAAAGCGATAGTGAAAATAATAGTGACAGTATACCTTTTTTAACAACTATATCAACTAAAAAAAAATTTAAAAAAAGAAAGATTAAAAGTCGAAAGAGTTTTGTGTGGAATTACTTCAGAGTAGTCGAAAATAAAGACATGTGCCAAATTATGATTAAAAAATATGGAGTTGATAAAAAATGTGAAGCTGAATATCTTCATGATAACTCTACATCAAATATAATCGCACATTTATGATCATCACATAAAATTGTTGATCTCAAAAAATTAAATGCTGAAATTCAACGAGCATGGCAAACTATATTACCTGAAATAGTTAAAAATGATATTCCATATAAAGGTGATAAACTTGATGAATTAAACAAGGCAGTTGATGAATAGATAATTCTTGATAATCAACCATTATCAGCACCAAGAAAAAAAGGGTTTCGCCATATTATGGTGAAAATTGATCCAAGATTTCATCCACCTTCAGATAGAACAATAAAAAATGAAATTGCAATTAATTATTTTAAAAATATTAAAGGTCTTTGATATGAAATAGAATCAACTTGTAAAACTGCTTCGATTACAGCTGATTTATGGACTTCATGTAATAACCAAGGTTATATTGGTATTACTTGCCATTGGATAGATTCGAATTGGTTATTATATAATATATTATTGTGCTGTGAAAAAATAGCATATCCACATACCGCAGAAGCTATTCATCAATTTCTTTCAACAAAATGTAATGAATTTGGCCTTGAAAATAAAATTATATGTGCTATTACAGACAATGGCGCCAATATTATAAAAGCCATTCGAATGTGGAACTCTATTACTTGACTTCCTTGCGCTGCACATACATTACAATTAACAGTTAATTTTGCATTAAAGAGAATTAGTAAACAAACAAAAAAAATAAAAAAGCTTGTTTATTTTTTCGATTCTCCAAAACAACAAGAGAGATTAATAAAAGCCCAAGCTATAGTAATGGAACAAGATAACTTATCTTTACCCGAATTAACTCGTTTCGAATTTGATTCTGAAAATGAAAATTCTGATGAACAACAAAATAGAAATACTAGCAAACCTTCTAAACCTCCTCATTTAATTAAAGATTGTCCAACTCGATGGAACTCGCAATATTATTCTTGGAAAAGGTTATTTAAATTGAAAGATGCAATTAGAAGCAAATTTAAAAATTGCTAGAAATTCGGATGATAAAAAAGATGGTCAAAAACTTGGACGCTATTTACCTAATGAAAGTGAATGGAAGTTAATTGGAGAGCTAATTAAAATTTTTGAACCATTTGATCAAGCAACAGAGGTGTTTAGCACTAAAAAATTTCCTATATTGTCGATTGTATATCCTACTATTGAAGTCTTAAAACTTGAGTTTTCTACATATATAGATTCAGATTTAGCTGAAGATATTCTCAATAAATCTGGTAAAAAAAAATTTTTTTACTATGATGATAAGTTTTTTATTTGTTAAAAATATTAATATATAATATTTGTGTTTGTAGAATTAAATATAGATAGTGATAGCGATAATGAAGATAGCCTTACCAATTTACCAGAAATAACTGATATTGAACCAATAATTAATGATGTTAAAAGTGCTATTTATCATTCGCTTTGGAGATATTGGGATAATCCAAGTAATATAGGTCTTTTAGCAACTTTATTAGACCCAAGGCTTAAACGAATGCAGCCTTGGCCTGCTTATTTGCATGAAGATACAATTAAAGAATGCCGTGAACAACTTAATACAATTATCACTGATGAACCTATACAAGCCACTACTTCTTCTAGTACAATCACGTCAACTAATCGTTACTTTGCATCAATTTTTGATAATGATAATGACCAGAGTGATAATTCATCTAATGATGAGTTGGATAAATATTTGAATATTAACAAAGTACCCAAAACAACACAACCTTTAGTGTGGTGGAAAGAATGAGAAAAAGTTTTTCCACATTTAAGTCAACTGGCAAAAAAATACTTATCAATACCAGCTACTTCAGTGCCGAGTGAACGCTTATTTTCTGATGCTAGAAACCAAGTAACACCAAAGCGAACTCGTCTTAGTCCCGAAACTGTTTCATGAATATTATTTTTAAAGAAAAATAGTGATTTAATTAGTATTACATAGTATAAACATATAATCTATTTTTTTAAATAAATATATTACCCATTTATTGCTTAACTTGTTTCAATATTCTTATCACATAATTTCTAATATAATGTAAGTAGCTAAAATTAGCAGCTTGCCACTCTTAATAGGTCCAAAAAAAAAAATCAAACTTGTTAGATTTAGAACAGCGATCTAAAAATTGCAAAGCGTTATTTCAAATTAGTTCTATGTTTCGGTAACAAAGACAAATCAACTACTTGATTTGATGTAATAAAAGTGGTTTAAAATATTGCATACCAAGATCAAACCAATCTTGTACATGTTATAATAAAAATGTAAAAATCGACTTTGCCACTTGAAAATTTATATATAGATAACCGGGTAACACATGTTACCCAGGTCACCCGTTCATTTTTTAACAACCTGGTTTTTTACCCGGGTAAGGATTTTTTAGACAGGCGGGTAACCCGAAGAAGAAATTTATGACAGGTCGAATCTCTACTTATAAATAAACATATAATAAATACTTTTTTATGTTCGGCAGTAACATTATTAGCCAGCGGATTCATAAAAAATAATGTGGCAGGATATTGCGGTTGAAATAACATGTTAAAGTATGTGAAATCAATAAATGGAGAAATAGGAACAGCTGAAGTTGTTGCTTCACTAGCTTGTTGTCGAAGGTCAGTGGCATCTGTTATTTGTCGGATGACTTTCTTTTTTCCTTTATTTTTTGTTTTATTAATTTTTGACAATGTCATTTTGATAAATAAAATACTAAGAATGCTCAAGTATCAATTGCAATCATTATTTTGATTGATTGTATTAAATGAGCACCATTACGATCACTAATTGTGGCAGATTAAAATAAAATTTTTCTATTTTTTTAAGAAAATTTGAAATTTTTTGAAGGACATTTTTTAGGGTTAGGGTTAGGGTTAGGGTTTAGAGTTAGTTTTATTAATAAAAGAGTATAAGTGGGCTTAATAAGCTTTAAAGATGAGCAAGAAAGGTCCCCAGTTTCATTTTAATCCGATTTCATTATGATCTGCGACACTAATAATCATATTGAAGTTGTTGCTTGAGAAATCGTCAATTACGTCACTATTTTCATATTCAAAAATTTCATGCAAATATAACTATAGTTGAGCACTATTGCGATCACTAGCTTATCACATCGAGTATGGGGCTTGAGAACGTCCTTAATTTTAAGGGATCGTTATCAAGAATAAAACACCAAGATTCAATTGGTAAGAGTAATACAATCACTCAGATTATAACGAATCTGGATATAACTACTACTGCCTATAATATCATTTTTAAAAATTTTACAGTAAATATAAAATGACTTTGGTTGAAACAACATCTGGATATACAGACAATTTGATAAGGAACGTCGTTAAAACTAGAATGACGTGTAATGTAAGATTTATAATATAATGGAAGTATTCGAATAAATTTTTTATAGAGAATAAGATTAGATATATAAAATTTTTTGATACTAAGAAAAATTACTATGGTTACATCTTAAATACAGATGTAATTTAATTAAAATCTAAATTTGAAAAGTTGCTCATCATTACTATTGCACTAACTAGTTAACTAGTTATTGAAGAAAAACTATACCGATGTTTTTGATGCGACTGTGCTAAAGTGGTGTGTTATATAATTGTTTCATACAGAAATTAGAGTTCCTTACGCACATAACATACAAAAAAAAAAAGTGACAGTCGATTTCCTCTTTTTTTTGATAAAAAAAATCAAAACGCACCAGTACAAATAAAATTGGAAAGAGCTGCAAAACGTCAAATGTGCGTTAAATTATCCTTGAACATATAACTATTTAGCAACGAAGGCTTATATGGCTTTTTCATGAATCTGAAATATTTCATATTCCTCTACTGAAAAGAATGAACGTGAAGAAGAATCATAAGTAGAATCCTTTCTAATTAGTTTTTCATAATACCCTAGTTTTTTGTAGTAGCAACATTTATCTTGGGTGGAAGTATCATACATAGCTAGACCACAATTAACAGAACAATAAATTGCCTCTTTTGTATATTTTACACGACTTAAAATAGAATTTTGGACAGCGTCATTTTTCAACGAGAAAATAAAGCTCTCATTGCAACTTTTATAACCCTTGAATGCTTTATCCCATCCAATTGGATTATATCCACCAAGAATTTCATCAGTATCTTTAACTTTTATAACAATAACTAAATTTTCTTTCTTAACGCATAAATTCCAAAATGAATCACGAGTAAACCCATCTCTGCTTCCGCGAAGAAGTAATTTGAATTCATATGGATTATTGATTGTAGGATATGTTTCAGTTTTTTTATCAATCCACGAAGCAATCTCTGCTGCATGTTCTTCATTAATAACTTTCGAAAATGGTTCTGTTGATCTATGTGGCAATTCTGGTGTTAAAATTATACGAGGTGGAAGGACTACTGAAGATACTGGTCGATTTGATGTCATATGTCTTTTAACTAAGTCTTTCCAAAGATTTTTTTCAAGAATTTTTTTATATGGCTGAATATGGTCGTAAATATCATCACCGGAGATTTGAAAATAACGGATAAGAGGTATACAATGATTTAAAGTAGATTTTAATGCTAAAATATTTTCGTTAGACCAGTCTTCAGGATTGGACGATAAACCAGGATTCTGTGCGATACCCCATTTAAGAACGCAATTCCAAATTTTAACTTCCTCCATTTGTAAATCTTCTCGTTCAATTAATGAAACTAATGCATTTTCTTGAAGTGATGTAAAATCTTCGGATTCGAAAACTTTACTTGGATGCTTTACTAGAATATCATTACACCATTTTTGTAGCTTTGAAAAGTTGTTATTTTGGAAACTTTCTCAACAAATGCGATCAAAATGTAAACGAAGCCAATGTGCATTTGATTCAATTAAAAAGGTTTCAAGATATTTAGCCAACTCTTCAAGAATAAGTTCACATGTAACAAGCATTAATTCATAGATAAATGATGCTTCAAGGTCTTCCAATAAAGCTATTCCTCCATAAATATATCTATTTTATTAACGTTAATAAAATAATTTTAATAATATATACTGTAGTATACGGACCACAAATAACAATAACTTACTTGATAATGAATTCAAATTGTTGAATAGAAACATTTTTCAAATTAATCGTTTTAATATTATTTTTATCTTTATTAGCTATTTTTAATTCATTATGAAAGTATAAAGATCGATGTTTCAAAATAGCTGAATGTGCTTGAAATATTTTAGAGTTTGGAGGCTCTCCAATTTTAATTATTACATTGAAATCTTCTTTATCTTCAAGAAGTTCAAGATAATTATTTGAAAGTTTTTCAAAAAATTTCGCCATTTTTAATTTGAATGTTGTTGTGTGTAAATATAGATGTGGCAGGTTTTATATAACTTCCCGACAATCATTTCTTTCTGCAAACACTAACTAAATTGGGTCAACCTTAAATAAGTGCCACCGGAAGTATGTACCGGTACGTACTGCAAGTATATTAATATACAGTAAAGATTTACATAACCGTCATAGGCACGCCAAGGACGAAATAAATGTATTTAAAGTCTGCTGTCATACCAGGTTCAATAGCTGACTGGGCGGCGAAACTAATGAAAGTTGGCAAACTGATGAATAATAGTATACAAGTAACTCTCGATATAAGAAAGATAATTAGGTTCATAATAAAAATTCTGTAAACTTTCATATTGAGAATTCATTAACATCTTATTATATTGAATTAATTTATTATGGACTGGTTTTGGCTTAACAGTTAACTTTCTTATATCGAAAGTTTAATTAGTCTTTTCTATATCTATATCGAAAATTTAATTAGTCTTTTCTATATTTATAACGAAAGTTTAATTAGTTTGAATCCGATCCAGTTGCGATTGTCGACCCAATAAGACGTATAAAGTATAACACCATAATTATCGCCATCTTTTTATATAAATTGAAATAAATATGTGTCTTCTGTATAAAAGAAACCTGGGTCCATATTATAAAAATCTTTCAAATTTTATCATATTTATTGCAATTTACGTTATATTAATATTAGAAAAACTAATAATATCTTCGAGGTCAAACTAATAATAGAAACTGAATATTATATTTTGTATTGTCCTTGAACATAGAACTATTTGGAAATGAAGGTTTATATAGCTTTTTCATGAACCTGGAATACTTCATAAACCTCTATTGAAAAGAATGAACGTGAAGAAGAATCATAAGTAGATTCCTCTCTAATTAGTTTTTCATAACACTTTGTGTTTTTATAACAGTAACATTTATCATCTTAATTGGAATTATACATAATTAAACCAGCAGTAAAAACTAGACTATAATTACGATCACAACCAATTGCCTCTTCTGTATATTTTACACGACTTAAAATAGAAGTTCGGATAGCTCCATTTTTCAATAGAAAATAAGGCTTTCTCCGCAACTTTTATAACTCTTGAATACATACTCCCATCCAATAAGATTATATCCACCAAGAATTTCATCAGTATCTTCAACTTTTATAACAACAACCAAATTTTTTTGCTTATCGCATAAATTCCAAAATGAATCACGAGTAAATCCGTCTCTACTTCCACGAAGAAGTAATTTGAATTCATATGGATTATTAATTATAGAATACATTTCAGCTTTTTTATCAATCCATGAAGCAATCTCAGCTGAATGTTCTTCATTAATAATATTTGAAAATAGTTCTGTTGATCTATGTGGTAATTCTGGTGTTAAAATCACACGAGGTGGAAGAATTACCGAAGATATTAGTTTATTTGGTATCATATATCTTTTAACTAAGTCTTTCCAAAGATTTTTTCAAGAATTTTTTTATATGTTGAATACGGTCGTAAATATCATCACCAGACATTTGAAAATAGCGAATATGTGGTAAACAATTTTTAAAGTAGATTTTAATGCTAAAATATTTTCATTAGAC